TAGTAGAAAAGATAAAGGGAAGGGTAGGATATGAGAGTAGAAAAGATAAAGGGAAGGGGTGGAAGAGAGGGGGGGTATAAGAGTAAAGAAAAGATGGATGTTTTCCAAATTCTGTTGTTTAAGCTCATTTAGATTCTAGACGAACTGTCTGCAGAAACATCTAGCTTGTTCGGACAACAAGATCTCCAGAGGGAGAGATCACATCTAATGTATTTATATCTTCTGTAAATATATATATATATATATTTACAACTATTCCTAGACGAACAAAATATTTATCCTTTTGGCGAGTTATAGGATGGAAAGCATGAAAAAAAATTCGGAAATTCAAGAAATCATAATTTTGTAATGTGCATGATTTTGTAATGTGCATAAATGAGACCTTTCCAAAAATGATTAAAAATGAAAAATAACTGTTTTAGAGGAAAAAAGAGAATTACCGTGCCAAAATAAAACAGTGGAAGGAAGGTTTTTTTTGTCAACTGTATAAACCGTTTTTTTGTCAACTGTATAAACCGTTTTTTTTTGTCAACTGTATAACTGTATAAACCGTTTTTTTTGTCAACTGTATAAACCGTTTTTTTTTGTCAACTGTATAAACCGTTTTTTTTGTCAACTGTATAAACCGTTTTTTTTGTCAACTGTATAAACCGTTTTTGTTAAGTGTCGTTTTATTACTTATTTTTGCTACAAAACAAAATATTACAATGATATGACATAAACTGATATGTAGAGCCACCAATCAAGCCATAAATGGCTGTTTTTAATAATTGGTCCTAGACTTCAGTGGAGAGGAGGGTCGAGAAACGGTCTGCAGGAGGTTTGGAGTTTGTAGGAGGTTGATTATTGCATGAACTTGCAATTGAAGTTAACAATAAGGTTGTTGACGGAAAACAGCAACACGCTAGACAAATCAGGATAATAGGCCAGTTAGGATTCTGGTGGGGGATGTTTATTTTCCCCGGACAATTCTTTCCCGATAGGCCGCACAAATACACACAACAGAGTAACCCCGTCTCAGTATCTTAACCTAACCTAACCCTAAATAACCAAAAAATAAAGGCCAAAAATCGTATACTAGAAAGACCCTTTTG